GGGGACGAGGAGGGGACAGGGATGGGGACGAGGAGGGGACAGGGATGAGGACGAGGAGGGGACCACGGCTGTGGAAGACAGCCTGGGCTGACTCACCAGGAACCAGTAGAGGTTCATGAGGGTGAGCAGCAGCAGGAGCGTGTTGAAGAAGAAGTAGAAGGGGATGTCAGGAACCACGCGCAGGCTGCAGTGACTCGTGGCGTACAGGACCTTGAGTGGGAACCAGTAGAGGCGGAACCAGAACCTGTGGTGGGAGGAGACGAGAGGCCGTGGGCAGAGGTAGACAGTGCCCCACCCAGTCCCTGTCCTGTCCCATCCTGGGCCCATCTCTGCCCCCTTGCCCCATCCTTGCCCACCTGTGCTCACGTGTCTCCACTCTTGTTCTGTCCTTCCTCTGTCCTGCCAGGCCCCACCCCATTCCCTGCCCAGCCCCTCCCCTTCCCTGCCAGGCCCCACCCACCTCACCAAGGCCTCACTCTCTTCCCTGCCCAGTCCCTCCCCTTGTCAGGCCACACCCACCTCAACAGGCCCCGCCTCCTCCCTGTCTGGTCCCGTCCCTTTTCTGGCCACACCCACCTCAGCAGGCCCCGCCTCCTCCCTGTCTGGTCCCGTCCCTTTTCTGGCCACACCCACCTCACCAGGCCACACCTCCCATCCCGCCTAGCACCCCTGGCCACTCACCAGCTGAAGCCGAAGCTGAGGCAGCCCAGGTCTGCCGCCAGGGCATGCCGCCGGTGGTGGGAGCCGCCGCGGGACTTGAAATAGATGTTGAGCTTGGTGAACTCAAGCTGCACGTCGCTGATATCGTGCAGGAAAAGCACAAGGATGCCCACATTGTGGTACCTGGGGGAGCAGGAAGCCGAGAGGAGAGGGTGGCTAACACTGGGGGACCCACTCTGCACTAGGGCCCCCAGCACAGAGCCCCTGGGCTACACCTCAGGCCTCCCCATGGGCCACTTCAAAGCCACCCTTCCTGGCTCACCTTCCCTGCCCATCTCCCCTTCCCAGGATAGCCAGGATGCCGTTTCCTCACTGCCCCCCTTAGCTGTGTACCCCTCAACCAGATCCTAGTTTTCCCTGCCACAGTGTCCCCATGTGGCCCGGGAGGCTCCCTGGAAGTTTGTTTTTACTTTGAGATGGGGTCTTGCTCTTGTGGCCCAGGCTGGAGTGCAGTGGCACGATCTCGGCTCACTGCAACCTCTGCCTCCTGGGTTCAAGCGATTCTCCTGCCTCAGCCTCCTGAGTAGCTGGAATTACAGGCACGTGCTACCATGCCCAGCTAATTTTTGTATTTTTAGTAGAGACAGGGTTTTACTGTGTTGGTAAGGCCGGTCCCGAACTCCTGACCTCATGATCCGCCTGCCTCAGCCTCCCAAAGTGCTAGGATTACAGGTGTGAGCCACCGTGCCTGGCCGGAATGGGGGGCTTTTAAAAATTATTTTTTAAACTGGCCAGACATGGTGGCTCACGCCTGTAATCCCAGCAATTTGGGAGGCTGAGGCAGGTGGCTAGCTTGAGGTCAGGAGTTCGAGTCCAGCCTGGCCAACATGATGAAACCCCGTGTCTACTAAAAATACAGTAATTAGACAGGTGTAGTGGTGTGCACCTGTAATCCCAGCTACTTGGGAGGCTGAGTCGGAAGGATCGCTTGAACCCGGGAAGCGGAGGTTGCAGTGAGCCGATATCGTGCCACTGCACTGCAGCCTGTGCAACAGAGCAAGACCCTGTCTGAAAAAATAAATAATAAATAAAATAATTTTAAAAATGTATTTATTGAGACAGGGTCTCCCTGTGTTGCCCAGGTTGAACTCAAATTCCTGGGCTCAAAATGATCCTCCTGCCTCAGCCTCCTGAGTAGCTGGGGGCCACTGCTCCTGGAGATTTATTTCAGTTTAATTAAAGTTGAAAGGGCCACCTCTTTGTTGTTCTGTATTTGCGAGTTGTGTCTACTTACTCTCTTATCACAGTTAGAGCGGCTAGTCCCGTAGGAATACTATGTGAGCAGGGTATTTCATTTTAAAGTTTCTTTTTTTTTTTTTTTTTTTTTTTTTTTTTTTTTTTTTTT